ACACATACCTTCAGAACTTAGATAAGGTATATTCCTTATTTCAGGGGTTTTGGGCTCTCTGGGTGTGTTCTGCTCTGGGGGAGTTTTGGGGGTTGGGCGGAGGAGGGCGGGGAGGAGGGCAAGGGGAAGTGTGAGGGTTCTGAGATTTGTTTCAGGCGTGTCTTCTTTTGGTGGTGGGTTTTTATTCGGGCTTAGGATATTGGTGTACGGGTTCAGATTTCAGGATTCAGGGCTGCAGGGTTTTGTAGCCGTTCGCGGAAGTATGCACTCTTCGAGTTCACGTGCTGCCACAGCTTATGTCATGTGGCTGAAGGGAAATGTGCACGGATTTCTGTGGGCTGCCAGTAGCACTGCGTTCAGCAGCTTCAACAAAAAACTCTTAAACCCTAAACCCATAAACCCCGAACCCTTAAACCCTAAACCCTCAAACCCTTAGCCCTTAAACCCTCAACCCTTAAAGCCTCAACCCTTAAGCCCCAAACCCTAATCATCACTCACAACCTAAGCCATAGAGCTAAATGCAGACTACCGAGCCCCAGGGTAGGACAAAAGCTCGTAGCAACCCTGACAGTCTAGAACCACTATAAGGGTTTAGGGTTTCATGTTGGGGATGAGGGTTTAGGGTTTAAGGTTCAGGTTCAGGGTCCCCCTCTATAGAACCATGACAGAGCCCTGCAAGAAAAACGCTAGACCCCAATAGCCTTGACCCTAAGCCCTGAATTTTGAAAGGACGTTAGAGGTTGCTTCAAGGGGAAATGTGAGTTTCGGGCATTCAAGCTTCGCAGCTTCAGTTGCTACTAGTAGCTGAAAGCAGAGGTGTGAGCTTCGGCTGTGGGAAGTTATGCCAGATGACGAGGAAGACTGTCGCACATATGCGAACGATCCCGTGCCGGCCTTTCCTGATTCTTCCTCCGATGAAGGATCGTTGCGATGATGGGAAACGCTTAGGACAACTGTGTGTACGGTGAGGACTGTTTTTGCAACATCGGCTGTCATGATGTCATGTGATAGCGCAGAGGGTTTGGGCATCTACGAGTGTTCTAGCCGGTAGACATACCCAGTCGGAGCAACATTCCTCGCGAATGAATCCACCGTTCAGTGAGAGAGGTCTGCCCCGACCTCCTGAATCAGTGTGCCATTTGCGCTGGCGTTGCTGCTTGTCCCAGCATCTGTAGGGCTTGTGATGCAGTTCACTCGGACTTGTTGCCGTAGAGGGATGTATCAGAGCATTCCCGCCGAAGATGTACTGTATCAAAATACAGCACAGGATTTGCACTGTCGCTTTGTGAAGAATCTTCATGCCTCAACCCTACTTAGGGCTTAGCGTTTAGGGCCTAAACCCTAAACGTCCTCGTGTCTCGTTTCGGTGCCCAGCGGAGGTTGCTCTGCAGCTCTTCATGGCTGCATGGCCGCCGGCCTGGCAAAAAAGGGGTGCAGCGGTTTAGGGGTTCAGGGATTTGGGGTTTAAAGCTAGAGTCGAGGAACTTCGAAAGCTGCCTCCAAAGAGAAATGCAACAAGCCTGGTGGCAACTCTGCGGTGACCCTACACCCTAAACCCTAAACCCTAAACCCTAAACCCAAACTCCTATAGTCATCCTCCTAGTAACCCTTATGGTAAGAGGAACCCCCAAGTCGAGAGTCGCCTTCCCGAATACCCTAAAGCCTAAGCCCAAATCACCAAACCCCTAAGGCGTAGAGGTTTAGGGGTTTAGGGCTTAGGGTTTAGGGCTTAGGGCTTAGGGTTTAGGGTTTAGGGCTTAGGGCTTAGGGCTTAGGGTTTCCTAAGCCGGGCTTGGTCCAAGGCTGTCCAGGGCCACGCTTAGTTCTGCGGCGGAATCGAGCTGCCTGCAGGCACGGGGTTTAAGGGCTTAGGGGCTTAATTCGGGTTTGAGGGTTTAGGGTTTGAGGTTTTAGGGGGGCATGGGGGTTTCGGAGCTTTTTCGGGTTTGGGGGTGTTTTTTGGGTTTCGGGTTTAAGGCTTTTAGGGTTCAGGATTTTAGGCTGTTAGGGTTTAGTGTTTTAGGCTTTAGGGTTTTGGGTGAAGGCGTTTCGGGTTTAGGATCAGGGTTCTGGGCTGCAGGGATTTTGCGAGCGAGTCTGCGAGGGACGTGCAGGCCTCTTACTTTGGGATTTGAGGGTTCGTCCTAGTCTTTCAAAGCCATAGCTGTGTTGCTTGGACCAGTGTTTGAGTGATGCCTGGTTCTGTACTTCCAGGGTGCCAAGCTGTTCAGCTGCAGGGTTTCGTGTCGCCTTGCTAGCGATTTCTTTGAATTTGCTGACTGCTTGAGGGTACTGTATGCTTTTCGCGGTCGCTGCATGTTCATGTCAGGCACCTCTGGCACTGACGCCGCTTGCCTTCGATGGTCTCGTGAAGCGTCTCATGTTCGCTTTATCCGCGGAAGATGTGAAACATGCAGCAGAGGCTCTTGCAGAGCCTGCAGATCTACTCGCTGCTCCTCCGAACAGTGATCAAGTCCTTCGACACTTGGGCTTGAGGTCAGGGCTGTAGAGTCTGAGACCTGATGTTTGCGTGGAACAGCAGCCATGTGCATCATGAGTTTCAGGAACACGCCCTAGCTGAAAACTGGAACGAGCCCCGGTCCTAGTCCTTCCAGATCAGTACTTGCAGAGGCCATCGCACGGGACGTAGGACGACGCAAGCCTCAAGATCTTGAGTCTTCGTCATACTGTCAAATACCATGTATCCTGCAACCCTATTGAGGCATCAGCAACGTTCCCAAAAGCAGATCCCCGTACCTCAGAACCTGTCCTGGGCGACGATGATTCCGGTCGCGGATATCCTAATGACGCCCTTCCTGCCGACTTGTCTGCACCCTGGGGCTTCCAGACACATGTTGTTTTGGGCTCAGGGCTTAGGGTTTAGGGATGATGTTGTCTTGCAGTGCCGATTGTCGGAGTATGGCGGAGCAGTCTGCTAGGATGCGGTCTGGATAAAGCGCGATGCAGCCCAGTCGAGCACGTGCAGTCAGACGGCCTTGTAACAAACCTCATGCTGAGTGCTGCCTTGCAACGTTGTTTAGATTGCCGCTGCCCCCAGGCTCTTCTGAGTTGTTCCAGGTCTTCTCCAGCAGACTATTGTTGCGGGGGTTCCTGATTTGAATTATAGTACAAGATACCCCCAAAACCCTAGTCTAATTATTAAGTCCCCTATATTGTTCCCATGTGCAGCCGAACTTCCGAGGCTTCCTTTGATGAGCTGCCTTCAAACGGCGGAGAGTGTCGAGGGCGTGCAGTTGCACCTCCTCTCGATCGTCCTCTCGGTGGGCTCTCGGTGGGGGTTTGGGAGTCCAAAGTCTTGGAACTAACTCTTTTCGGATTCGAGAACATGTCGGCAACAATGGCACAAGCACCCTGCTCAGACGAGCCAGACGCTAGAGTGGATAAGCTCATGCCTCATTGCTTGCGCACAGCTTTAGTGCTCTGATCCGACTGAGGCTATCCTTGCCCGACCTAGCAAAGTGCCAAACCTTTCCCGCAATGACTGCAGCAGACGTTTGAATATGCGGTAACAAAGCACGATTACAGTACAATGTTTGAAAATGTACTACATTGTAACATAATATAATGTAAGACAATATTTGATTGCATATTATGCGGTTGTGACATAATGTATTATGCTAAAAACAAAACATAATATAACATGTAACAGCAGAATGTGATCTAGCACAGTAAATTTTCCTCATAGAACCGAATAAAATGTAGCATAATACAGTTCAATACTGTATAGTATAGAGCGAAACACACGAACTCAATATGATACGATACAAGATAGTATAGTGCAATATAATATCGTAGAGTTCAAGACAGCATAGTATAAGCAAAAACATGCTTTAATAGAGCAAACCGTAACCTGCTGTATACACGCTGACATAACAACATGAAACGTGATATAGCATAACTTAATATGATATATCATGATATAACACAATATTATACAATACAATATATTATGAACTAGTAAAATAAAATACACTACCGTATGATATGACTAAGTATATTATAATATAGTACCAAATATCACATACTGTGACATAATATGAGAAACCATAGGATAATGGGATAACTTACGACAGACTATCGTATATCTTTTTACAGTTGATATGTTATCATGGAAATACTATGACATGGTGGTAAAGTATAACATACAGTAATAATATAGTCTCACTGTAGTACAACGCGTTGGGGAGCAGGTTAAATGCCTCTTCGGCACCTGAGGCCCTTGCGAGACAGCTGAAGGGTCACGATGAAGGAAAGAGCATCTATGTGCAGCGCTCGAAAGAGTTCGATTCCATAATATTGCAGTTTCATAGCATATTATGGAAGTATTATCCTATGAAATAGTTTAGAGACCTCCGGAGAAGCCTTCAACCTCCTGCCACAAGCCCTTGTCCTCGAGACGCGAGGCGGGTTTTGGCTACTTCCTTGTCGGGCTGCGATTCCTGGTGCGGATTCGCCATCGCAACGTGCCCAGCCTGAGGTTACCAGCTGTGATGGCACCTGGTGGGCACCATGGGTTTGAGGCTCCTGAACTAGTTGGATCTTCGTTGGGGGGCTTGAGTTGTTGGATGGGCCTTGGAGGTAGCGGAAGGACAGGGTCCCAGACCGTTCACCTGGCAAAATCAGGTGGTGAACGATTTCCTGCGGCATGTTCTGGCGCTGAACGTGGTGCGGACGGGAGTGCAGAGTTCCACACAACCCATGCCCACTGTGCATTGAGCTGAGGCCGAGGCCAAATAACAGAAGGAACACCCCAAAGTGTTACTAAGTGTGTCATACATGCATCAAGCTGATCATGTCTCCTTGTCCTTTGTTGGAGCACCTTACCATCTCACCCATGATCCTGAAAGAAGTTCTGCAGGTCACGCTGCCCTACTGCATCTACTGGGCGGTTCACTACACGACCTTCTGCTCTGTCAGGGAGGTTGTGCCTGGCTCTGAACGGATGTTGTTCATGCACTCAATTCTTTAGTTCTCACCTGGCTGTCCATTCCAGACCTGGGCATTTGAGCCCCTCCTTCAAAAAGAAAGCACAGTACGTTCATACTATAGTGTACTAGGATAACATGAGGTATGTAGTATACTATCGTATACTGTAACCTAACATAATACAAGGTAAATATCATATATAGTATGCCTAGCCGAATACAACATAACTTATTCTATCTTGATATCGAGTAACATAACATAATATAACCGTCATCCAGTCCTCGGACTCTAGGCCCTTCCGGCCATGTCTTGCCCCGTCGGAGGTGGAATCGGGTCCTGCAGCTTGCTTGCGTGCCTCTGGCCCGTCCTATGCCCTGGTAGCTCCTGGGACGGCCCTGTGTACTTCTCTGGCCCGGTTCTGTTGTGCGGAGCCTAAACCCTAAACCCTAAACCCTAGACCCTAAATCCTAAACCCTAGACCCTAAACCATAAACCTAAAGGAAACCCTAAACCCTGATCCCGAAACCCTAAACCCCCCTAACTCTAAACCAGACCAAGGCATTGATCTGCATGGCCAGGCGGGCGAGCGAGCTTTTTGAAGTCTTTGCTCCTAGCCTTCCGGGGCCTGACGTAAACCCTGGCCCTGAAATGCTGGAACCCTAGGGTTTGGGGTTTAGGGTTTAGGCTTAGACCCCACACCCGGAAACCTCAAATCGAGACGTGTACCAAAGGGGTTCAAAAAAAGGAAACCCTGTCCTCAAAGTTCGACACACAGCCTGGGAGCGGGTTTCGATCTTTCAGCGGGCCATTGCGTTTGGAAGGCTGCTGGAGGTCATCCCATTCGCGATGCAGGGCCAGGGATGCGAAAGTCGGGTCTACCCTGAGCCCTAAACCCCAAACCTTAAACCGCAAACCATCCGTCAGCACCAGCCGGGAAGCTTAAACCCTAAACCCCAAGCCCTAAATGGCCCTCAACCCCGAAACCCCAAGCCCTAAACCCCGAAACCCTAAACCCAAACCCTAGTCATATTGCTCTTTCTGTAGTTCATCCACAAGTGATTCGCTTCTGGATTGTCCCATGACTGCTTGCATAAACCCAAACCCTAAACCCTAAAAGCCCCTAAACCCTAAACCCCGAAACCCTAAAAGGCCCTCAACCCTGAGCCGTAGCATTGTTTGAAGCGGTCCTTGGACGCCAGGATCCTCGAGTTCTATGCCGTTTGGAGCAGCAGATGCTCAGCTGCACTGCGATTTTTTTCCAGGAGCTGAAACCCGAAACTCTAAACCCTAAACCCCTAAACCCTAAACCCCTAAACCCTAAACCCTAAACCCTAAACCCCTAAACCCTAAACCCTACACCCTTAGTGTTTGGGATGCAGGGTTTAGGAGTTGAGGAGACATTCAAAACAGGGTTTAGGGCTTCAGAGGACACGTATAGGGTTCTTGCAGGATTTCTATAGGTTGCAAGTACCTGTAGCGGGGGCTGCTTAGAAATCTGGCTGTGGTTGCGTTGCGTAGAACCTGAAACCCTAAACCCTACCGACTCAGTGCCTCGCTCCTCTAATTGAGAGCTTCCGCCAGAGAGGGCTCCACGTCTGAGGATATGACCTCAACAGGATCCAAGTCCGGACGCTGGATCGCAACTTTTGGATTTGGGGAGAGTTTAGGGGGTCTAGTGTTCATGAGGATGATGATGATGATGATGACGATGATGATTATTATGACTATTGTTATGACCATTATTATTATAGTACTGTTATTGATATTGTTACTACTATATCTACTATTGCTAGTATGATGTCAATCTGAAGCTTCGGAAACTGTCGACTGTGTGGTTCTGTTGCACAACTGGCTAGCTCCGAGGTGAGCAAGGAGTCAGGCAGTTTCAGGTTTGTAGCTCGGAGTCAGCTGATGTGGGTCTGGAGCAGTCTGGGAAGTACAGAGAAACTGTTGAAAGCTTGCGCCGTCAAACCCCTAAACCCTAAACCCTAAACCATATGAGTGGGCTTGACAAGCCATGAAGGAGGCAAAGCATACGCTTCCGACTCCGAATCTGAGTTTCCTGAACCTAAGACTCTGCCGCGGATGCAAAACATACCAATACCATTGCGGGGGTTCCTTACTATAATTCTAATATATAATAATTATAGTATATTATTCTGTCGGGCCAGATTCGGCAAGGATGATTGGAGCACGAATCCGAAAACCTGAGCTTCTGAATCCTACCAAGGCATCGCCTCTGTTGCAGTGCGCTGTTTAAGCAATCACGACAACGCTCTCAAACCCTCAACGGCAAGTTCCGAGAAGAATTATAGTATATTATGCCCTCCCCTCAAAAACCTATTCTGATTCTTAAGGCCCGTGCATTAAACCTGGATTCTGACAGCGATCGAGGCAACGGTTTGGTTTGCTGTTCACTGCGCTTCAGCCCCGCTACTACCTGTGGTTCGCCTTGGAAGGCAGGCTGCTTTGGCTACTATCAGGTTAGTAGAAGGCAAGGATGGTTTAGGCATGCCTAAACCCTAAACCCTAAACCCGAAAACCTAGAGGTTTACGGCTTGAGGGTTTTGGGAATTCGGGTTGAGAGGCTTCAGTGTTGAGGGCTTCGGGAGAGTTGCACAAAGTCTTCTCGCATTTTGCGATCGGCGGTTCTTCCGTTTCCATTTGGAAGCAGGCGCCTTCGGTTACACGTCACTTACTGCGATGAAGGTTGGGGCCCGTTATCGGAGTAAGACTCACCGAGTCTCCCGACACCCCAACTCCTTACGAGCCGTAAACGGCGAAACCCCCCAAGCTCCGAAAATCAACTTATTCCTTAAATCGCTACCAGCCCCCTAAACCCCCTTGCACCCCCTAAATCCCTGGAGCCCTCACACCCCCCAAGACCTAAACCCAGAATCCCCTCCTTTTCGAGGGTCGACGCTCTTCGTCTTGGCCGGCGCCGTCCCAGTGATCGATACCGTCTCTGGCATCATCCTGTTCCTCGGGTGAGAAAGGTTCAGGGTTTACGGTTTATAGGGTTGAGGAACGATCAGAGACTTGAGGCTATAGGGGATCCTTAAGGGAAGGACCCAATAAATAAAGGGATTTCTTAATCCTAAGAATTCCCCATAGGACTGAACAGGGCGAACCAAAGCGGAGCCCCACGTCCTGCCTCCTGTGCCACCTCATGGATTCAATTCAATCCCTCAGCCCCAAGCCCCAAACTCTAATGCAGGGGCCTTAATCATTGGAGTAGGGTTTGGGGGTACATCACACGAATATAATAAGGAACCCCCGAAACCCTATTCTACTTCTTAAGGCCCCGACATTAGACCCTGAACCCTAAACGCTAAACCCTAAACCCTAAACCCTGAACCCAAACCCGAAGCTGTGCTCAGGATCCTCGCTAATCAACTCCTCATGCGGGTTCTCTACACCATCAGCACACCGTTCTGGACCGTGAATCGCCAGGCTTTACGGAAGACGATCCTTTGCTGGGCTTGGTGTCTGATTTGGGTTTCGTGTCAGTGCAGGTCGTGTTGAGGCTGAAGTGAGACTGTTGGTTTCAGTTTGCATATCTCCGCCTTGTCCATTCCGGCCACCAAGTCCAAGCAGACTCTTAAACCCCTCGACCCACGAGCCCTTAAGCCCCAAACCCTTATCCTACGTATATGCTGCTAAATCCTCAACCGAGCCCGGTGTTCCTCCTGCAGCTCAGCTGAGAGAGCTCTGAGCCGGAGCCAAGGAAGCAGCGCGTCTCCTCCTGTGTGATCTTCGCAGCAACCATTTGTGCTTTGGATGCTGGGCTCAACAGGTTTAAGGTTTTTTGGGGCTTTCAGGGTTTCTGTTCGGGTGTTGAAAGTTAGGGCTAGGGGCTACAGGGTTTGGGGCTTATTTAACCCAAAATCCTAAACCGTTTGGGGATTATTTTTTCGGGCCCTCTTGGCTTTCGAGGTTCTGGGCAGTATAGGGTTTGAGGTTTAGGGTTTATAGGGTGTAGGGTTTAGGTTTAGGGTTGGGGGTTTAGGGTTTAGGGTTCAGGGTGTGTATGGGGCTTCGACAGCCAGGGCAGCATCTTCGAGCAGTGGCTGGAAGCTGTCCTGCAGGCGGGGACTGTGGGGCTGGCGATCCTGGATGCGCACCTTGGCTTCGGGCTTTCCGTTTTTTTCAGGGTTTCGGGTTTAGGGTTGCGGGTTTGGGGCTTCAGGTTCAGGGTTCCGGGTTTAGGGTTTAGGGTTTCGGGTTTAGGGCTTCGGGTTTAGGGTCCTGGGAGTTTCTGAGATGTCTTGACTTCGGGAACTCGCAGGATTCAAGAGGGGTAACCCAAAACCCCAGAAGCTCCTAAACCCTAAACCCTAAACCCCAAAAGCCCAAAAGCCCAAAACCCAAACTCATTGGCCGGGGCCAACGCACGCATACTCTGCTCTGAGCCCTCCTTTCAGGTCCTACACCCGAAATCAGTTGGATGAGCACGACCTCATGGAGGGGATGGTGGACCTCGCCCTCTTTTCCTCGGAGATTTATGTGGTCGTAATGTGCGTCTGGAAGATTTTCTACAACAGCGTCTTGCCTGAACCCTAAGCAATAAAGCGTCGACTGCGGACCCTGGCCGTGGGTTCTACCTTTATAGTAACGAAGCATTAACATTGTAGTAACCCTCATGGTAGCCCTTAGCCTTGCAGTAGCCCGTGCAGAAACCTTGCCTAAACCTTGTAGTAAGAATTTTTAACCCTTTTAGTAACCTTGGAAGGGCCGTGAGTAATCCTTGTTCACTTGTAGTAACCTTGTGGTGACCCAGCGGTTCTGACAGCATCCTGGCTCCTTCCCCCAAAGCCCCAAACCCTAAGCCCGAAACCCTGAACCCTAATCCCTAAACCCTAAACCCTAAACCCCTGAACCTTAAGCCCTAAACCCTAAAGCCTTACCGCGCCATGCCCAGAATTCGCCTTCACTTGGGCTGTTGACGAGCTGACGGGCTCCCCTATGCGTCCGGGCGTCAGGACTGGAGGTTTAGGGTTTAGGGTTTAGGGGAGAGCTTGGCACGTCAGCTTGATGAGCCTAGGTAGTTCTGGTCCCATCACCAGTCTTGTGCAAACAGGAAATTTATCCACATGCTGCGACTCTTCTTCTCCCTGAGAAGCGGCTGGACTTGCAGACAGACGGTTTTCGCCACAGCAGCCTATGGACTTTGCATGGATTCCTCACTTGACGCAGGGTGTCCATAGATGAACTTAGCGACCGCCCGCCATGATGCCCCATTCTCATGTCGACACCTCCGTCAGTGATGGCTCCGCAAGGCTCGAGGTCTCAGGCGCAACTGGCTAATTGCGGTTCAGGCTTCTTTTCTGGGAACTCGGACGGGAGATTTCCGTGTACCCGATTCTCCGAAGAATGTTTTTCGTTTCTGTGGAAGATGGCATGGTGACCTTGGAGGCAAACCCGGTGCCAGTAAAGTGAGTGGACATGGTGGGCAAAACCGTGGATTCGGCAGAGTACAAACAAAGACTCGCTCCTGAAAAAAGCATGCGGAAGAGCCCGGAAGGAGGCAGGTTTGCAGTGAGCAGAACGACAAAACAATCAGACAATGCAGGTATGGATCCAAATCAGCTACATACATCTGCAAGCAAACAGTACTTCCGGCCATCTTTCTATTTCTGAGCAAACGACTGTTCAGCAGCAATGCAGAAATCGCAAGCGAAGTCACATCAATCCGGTAAACAGTGAAATCGTACGACCTCGAGCCAAATCCTACGCCCCTCCCGAAACCGAAACCCTAAAGCCTAGACAAAAGCCCTATTGTATGCCCCTTTCCAGTGTAGGCCAAAATTTCGAAATCTGTGGCAAGAGCGGGAACATCAAGTAAAGAACAGCAGACCACCACAGACAACTTCATCGTCATTCCCAGCTCAGCCAGGTTCCATTTGCATTCTGCACAAACCTGTTGTAACTCTGACGGGCAGAGCCAAAATCCGAAACCCCAAACTTTTCTGACCCTCTATCATCAGAACCCCCCAGACCTTTCAACCTCTAACCAGAACCATATCGAACCCCTCGACCCTAGAAATTCATAAACTCTCGACCCTAAACCTTCTATCACAACCCCCAGACCCTTCCTAAACCCTAAATCCTAAAATCCCCAAACAGCCCGACGATTTTGCAGCACTTTTCTCAACCCCCCGAATCCGGTGATGCCAAGCCTCGGCTCAACACCGGTTTGGGGTTTAGGACGTAGGTTTAAGGTGGTTTAGGGTTTAGGGTTCAGGGTTGTTTCAGGGTTGTTTCAGGGTTGTTTCAGGTTTAGGGTGAAATTTGATGTTTTGTGGACCCCTGACGAACTTACCCTAAACCCTAAAACTCTAAACCCCATGAGAGGGGGCGCTCAGGCTTCGGGGTGGCTGACTTTGCAGAGTCCTTCTTCTTCATTTTTTTCGGCATCCCATGGCGCCAAAAACCTAGGCCGTAATGTAGACGCCTACATAATTACCCATATTATTCCTTAGGGTTCCTTATTATAAGTATACTTTCACCGACCCCAAACCTGTTCTAGTTATTAAGGAACTATAAGGAGCCCTAAACCCGCACCTCAGGCATTAGCGTCTCCATCGACGGTGCAGCCCGGCAGTGCACAACAACGTCTTCCTGGGCTTCAGACATGTCCTGTAGGAGCTTCTATTAGGGTTTAGGGTTTAGGGTTTAGGGTCTATTAGCTGCTGCCGGTGGTTGTTGTCGTCATGATCATGCGCATGATGGTCGAGATGATGCTCATCATCGTCATTTTCACTGTCATTATCATGTGCTTTTCGCGTGTTGCCTATAGATTATATTGCCTTGGTATCGCTCCTGAGTCTATATTCGTCATATAGGGCCGAGCCCACTCCCTTTCACTGCAGGCAGGGTCATGGGATGAGGCAGATCATCGGTTTAAGGTTTGGGGGTTAGGGTGTAGGGCCGAGTAGGGTTTGGAGTTAAGGGTTTAAGGTTCTGGGTTAAGTCCTACAGCCCTTCGAGTGTGCTGCATGCCTTCTCGCACTTCCTTCCCTGAAGCGCCCGAGCCAGGCATCGCTTCAGATGGATACGAAGAGAGCATCCAAAAAACAACGAGATGACGCCTGGACTTCATCTGCAGTGCCTGCGTAGGTGGTGGTTGTATGTGTTGTCTTTCTCCTGCCGCCGGGTTTCACAACACAGCTGACGGCGCGGGAAACTGTGAGAGGTAGGCCTGCTAACAACCCTGAACCCTAAACCCTTAACCCTAGACCCCAAAACCTAAACCCTGAAACCTGAACAATGAGGTGGTTGTCACACCTCAGCTCAGACTAATCTTGCTAGGACCGGGAGTGCCAATTCTGCGTAAGCAAGGTGCAAGGCATGACAAGGTAGACAGTGCTGGTATTCAAGGGCCCCTTCCCTAAACCCTAAACCCTAAACCCTTTAAGATTC